TACAATATAAATTTTTTTTCTTCTACGGCCAGGGGTTGACCCAGGGGGTGCTAGGGTAGGCGACTGCCTCCCTTAAAATTTGAAGAAATTTTTTAACATAAGTATAATGCAAGAAACTTTCATTTTTTCTCTCCATTAATGTGAAGTTGTGTTCTCCCACCGCAAAGAGTTTATAGAACTTCTTTATATTCCCAGGTCCTATATCTATTGAAATCCCTCCAACTCTGATTGCAGTTTCAACGTGAAACTTACAGATTCAACTTGTATTATTCTTAGATGTTAGCACAAATCTTTCCCATCTATGAATAAAAATAAGAAGTCCGAGAGTCTTATGAAAGAATGAACTTTATTCTTTCGATCACTCTCTTTTTCTGATGATTCGTGACAGAGAGGGAACTGAGGGGCAGAAGAGTTTTGGTGATTGTGCTTCTTGGCAATCTGTCTCTTCTGATTTATCTTTGGCTTTTTTTTCTCTTGTTGGGCTAACAGTGAGTGAATAGAAAAAGAGGTTAAGAAATGAGAGGGGTCTGATTTGAATTATCTATTTAGATTATAGTAATTAGTACATATTTTTTGTGAAATCTAAACCTTTGCTCTCTTCTCTTTTTATTTGTTTTCTTTTCTTAAAAAATGCTCATTTTAGGAGTTGAAAAGATGTAGTTTTTCTCAAATTGATAGTAGATTTTACGATGACATCTTCCACCTATGTCTCCTTCTTTCTCTCTATAACAAGTTAAAAGAGGTATTTATGAGTTATGTTCTCTGGATTGGAGTTTCGGCCTCCCACATATTGTGGTTGAAAAGAGGAACAAATATTTATTTTTTCGTATTTTGGCCGGCTTTTTGACCCTTTTGCCCCTAATTAAATAATTAATAACCAATTTGCCCCTCCCCCAGAACTATCCACCATCCTGCCCCCATTTAGTCGATTAAGTTGCACTTTTAATCGACTAAATGGGCTAAACTCAGAAATTATGAAACGCGAATTTTAGTCGACTAAAAACTCACCTTAATCGACTAAATTGTTTGCACTTTTAGTCGACTAAAAACATTATTTAGTCGACTAAAGATGGCGAAAAACCCTATATCCAGACCTCTCTTGGTCTCATTTTCATTATATTCAAAATCAAAACTCCTCTCTTGGTCTCTTTATCTTGTTTGTCAGCTGTGAACCTTCCAATCACCCTTCCATTTCATCCCACCACCTCTAAGGCATAGTAATTGTGAAATCATTGTCATTTTCCTTTATTTCTCAATTGTTTCCCCAAAATCCGAACCCTAACCCCTAAAATCTGATTCCTACCCCCAAAATTCGTGTGAAAGATGAGCTCAAGTCCAAACATGTATGTTACCATGATTTACTATGATGGAAAGCATTATGAAGGCCCCAACGGTGTTCAATTTGAAGGAAAAACGAAAATGTTGAAAATCAAACGGGGCACTACGTACAATGAGCTGAAGGGGAGGATTAACCAAAAATTGGGGCTACACGGCAGCCATGGCGTTCACCGGATGATCGCCAGGGTAGAGTCTACAGTTGGTAAGGATGCTATATTCTACATTGGTAATGATATATGTGACGATGAAGATGTGGACTGTGTCATAGATGCAATTGTGGACCGAAAATTTCAAAACTTTATTGAGATATATGTTGAAATAGACTGTGGTCAATCTTCATCTGCACCTGTGCATGGAAGAAGTCAAAGTCAAGAAGACAGAGTGGTCAGTTTATCTGCACCTGCACCTGTCTTAAGTCAGATACCACTGAGAGAAATAGACGAGGATGAGGATGAGCATGACGAGGATATGGACAGTGAAGACGATGGTGAACCCGAGAGTGTTATTCCGCTGGGTGACACCTCAGATACGGACGTAGAGGGGAATTTTGACGCTGATACTAGTTCAGGAAACTTGAGTTCCCAGGTTATGCCACCGCTCCGTGTTGACCCTGTTAGCAGTGGTAAGATTATAAATTAAAGTTTTAATTTTGCATATATATATATATTTGTGTTTTCTTTCGTACTGACGGATAAGTTTAAATTTGGACGTAGGGTCTGAGATTGAGCCATTTTGGAACGACAGCCCACACTATTCGTTCGTTAACTGGGCTCACCCTAATGATGAGACGGAGATATTGTATGGCGACGATGACATCCACGGTGGCTGGCATTTAGGGGATCCTTTATATTTGTACCAGGAGTTTCGAACTAAATCTGAAATGCAACATGCAGTCAAATTATATTGTATGAAGTCTCATCGTACTGCTGTGGTGGCAAAAAGTGATGACCATAGATTTGTGATGAAGTGTCGACATCATAATGATGGTTGTCCTTGGAACGTGCGGGCTATGTTGCCCAAGAATGGAAATAGTTGGGTTGTTAGTAAGTGGGGTAAAAAACACACTTGCCTAAACCAAGGCCTTACTCGGGACCATAGACAGCTGGATTCTGATGTAATCTGTGCAGCCATTATAAGTATGTATTACATTCATTTTTGTTTATGGTTTAATTTTTCGGTATATTTATTGATTGTGTTGACTTCGAATTTTGTATAGGTATGTTAAAAGAAGATCCATCCACGAAACCAATTCTTATTCAGGAGAGGGTACAAAGTTTGTATGGATACAACATATCTTATAGGAAGGCTTGGAAGGCTAAAATGAAGGCCATTATGAAGTTGTTTGGGGACTGGGAAAAATCATATGCCATTTTACCTGGTTGGCTGACCTACATGACACAGATAAATCCTGGTTCTGTGTTCAAGATTGATACAGATCAGTGTTGTGACGAACGACGAGTCTACACCGATAAGGCTGTCTTTCGCAGGGTATTTTGGACTTTTCACCAGTGCATTGAGGCTTTCAAATATTGTAAACCCATAATCCAAATTGATGGAACACACCTGTACGGGAAATACAAAGGTACCCTCTTGATTGCTACGTCACAGGATGGTGATGGATTCATTCTGCCTATTGCGTTTGTCATTGTTCCACCGGGTGAGAGATTGGATGATTGGTTGTGGTTTCTTAGCCAGATGCGTTTCCATGTCACACGTAGGCATGGTATATGTCTAATATCCGATCGTCACCCCAGCATCATCAGGGCTGTGAAGGATCATGCCGGTTGGCAGCCTCCATTTGCGTATCACGTGTTTTGTCTTCGTCATATTGGAAGCAACTTCAACACTAAGTTTAAGGACGTGGAACTGAAGAAAACGCTGATGAAACTAGGTAACCTATTTACATGAATGTGTACATGTTGTATGTAATGTTGTTTATGTATAACTCATTGCAATTTGGGTTCATTTTTTGCAGGTTACATGTGTTCGAAGATTCACTTTGATTTAAGATTTCAAGAATTTGTCGACAGTAACCCACAAGTAGCCTCATGGATAGATCAGATTCCCAAAGAGAAATGGTGCAGGTCTTATGATGAGGAGGGCCGAAGGTTTGGTCATATGACGACTAACCTATCTGAGTGTATCAATAAGGTCCTACGGGGTGCACGTAATTTGCCAGTAACGGCATTGGTCAAGATGACGCAAAGTAGACTTGTAGAGTATTTTGTGAAGAGGCGTGAAAAGATCCAAAAAGTAAAGGACAAAGGCTGGAGAATTGCAAAAAAGGTTGAGGACTTCTTACAAAAGAATGATCAGTTAACTGTCAGTCTCCGTGTCTGTGTTTTTGATAGAGACTTGCAGTTGTTTGAAGTTGAGGATGCCTACAATCAATCTACGCATGATGCCGGCGACATTATGAGGGTTGACTTGCTAAATCGTAAATGTCAATGTGGACGGTTCACAGCTAGACGATTTCCTTGCAGTCATGTGCTAGCGGTGTGCAAGGTTGAAAAATTGAACCACTATGACTATGTCGATCCTGTGTTCTCAATTACACAAATTGAGAAGGTCTATGTTGCACATTGGTTTCCAATGGGTAATGAGTTGTTGATCCCAGAAATAGATGGTCCAACATTAATCCCAAATGCATCTTTGGTTCGTGCACAAGGTAGACCGAAGTCTTCAAAGATACAGAATGAAATGGATTGGGTTGAGTCCCAACCCACAAGCAGTCAAACTAGATGCAGCACTTGCAAGCAAATTGGTCACAATAAACGTACATGTCCTATGAGGATTAATCCTAGCTGAACCAATGTTGTGCATGTATTTAAGGTCTTTTGTAAGAGTTCATGTAATTCTTGTAAGACATTTTGATGTTACTTTGTGTTACTGTATAACTCATTATGTAATTTGACATTTCATTTCTAAGTCCATTATCTAACATTGGTCCATATTGATAGATTGAAACTCATAACTAATACTAATATTACCAAAAAATGAAATCACCAAGTTTCGGGGAGCGTAAACAAACAGTTTGGGGTAATACGTACCCAATCGCATACGAATCCTGTACAATACTATTTTGTACCTGAAAGTGTGTTCCCCAAGTCATTATATGCGTGTACATTGATATTCGATCGGTTCCGTGCCAAAAAAATGCGTGCAAAATAGAATGGGGTGTCAAAACCAGTTATTTAGTCGAGCAACCTGTACTGGTTTAGTCGACTACACAGTTTAGTCGACTAAACCAGTACAGGTTGCTCGACTAAATAACTGGTTTTGACACCCCATTCTGTTTTGCACGTATTTTTTTGGCACGGAACCGATCGAATATCAATGTACACGCATATAATGACTTGGGGAACACACTTTCAGGTACAAAATAGTATTGTACAGGTTATAAACCACGAATGTACATGTACTGCATAAATGCTCCAAGTTAGGGTATCCGAAACTTGTGTTCTTCTTTTAACTCTGTTAAGGTCACCTGTTCTGAATTTCATTGGACATTTTAGACCCGTTGGACTGTGATTAGACACAAATTGAAAACAAGAAGGTAAAAGATATTTGTTCCTTCATTTGGTAAACAAGAAAACAACAATAATTACGTAAACGGTTCACAACATGATGGGAACATCAAATAGTTCATTTCATAACCATAATATTACATAAACTACAAATGTCAAATAGGAAGACCGAAGTCAATTACATAACAACATACACTACAAACGTAAAATAGAAACATAAACCCTAAATCTAATCCTCATCCTCCTCGGACGCCGTCTCCTCGTCATCCTCATCTGACACATCAGCCCCCTGCCCTGCAACATCCTCAATTTGTTGTCCTCGTCCAAGCTCTAGACGAGCAAGCCTATCTTCAACACCCTTGAACCGTCCCTGTATATGTCTAAATCTTTCATTTCCTTTCTGCACGTGACTCTTCCTCCATTTTTTGTGTTTCAGCGCCATTTTTCCTATTTTCTTCAGCGTGGCGTTTATGCCCTTCAAAACATCACGTAATGAAAACCCACCCTCAGGCTCAGCTATCTCCTGCTGGTTACCCTCATCATCATCGTCATCATCATCCTCCACCTCGGGCTCAACCATGTCTACAACTGGAGCAACATCAGGAACCTCAACATCAGCCGCACCTGTGAACTGCCACACTCCTGTTTGGGGGTTCTTTGTCATCTTGCACTGCTCCAGAAGACGTTTTCCAAACTTATGATTATACCCTGTGGTCTTCTTCAAGGTCACATTACCCATGGGAACATCAAAATGCTCCAATATCCTCTGAACAAGACAAGCAAATGGAAGTGCACCATTGTGTTTGGCCTTATACATCATCCAACAGATGTAGTGCCTCCAGTTCACCGAAGTACCATGTCGGATAGCCCACATGATGGGAATGTCATGCTCCAACACCCTGGAATGATTGAACGCTCGTGGAAACAGAATGTGGGTGATGACATAGTGTAGTATGCGGGACTCCACAGTAAGCAACCCCACCGTATAGGCAATGTGTTGCCCACGAACTCTCCTTTGCTCCTGCACGACATCACCGCGTGTATATCCTGGAAGTATGGTCCCGCTGTCTGCGTCATATTCCACAGTCTGCACAGAATCAAAGTCATACCCCAGTAACTCTAACCATACCGGAGCCGTCATGATGATGTCCACCCCGCAGACCCTAGACCTCAGCTCACCCTGATGGTAGCTGAGGTTATGGTAGAAGGCCCGTACATGCAGCTCAGAATATGAACACGACAGTTCAGCCAAGGTCATAAGATGTGATTCCTTCAACCACCTCACAATGTTAAAACCTTCTTGTTCAAAAAAGGCTGTATCAAGTGATTTGGCCCCACAAATCGGTCGATTAACAAAGTCACGGACAAAAGATTCATGAACCACCGGGTCATTCTCGAACAAGTATCCGAATGGGAGGTCGACAGCAGCGGGGTCTTCCTCTTGTGGCCTTGACGAAGACGGACGGTCTTGTCGTAGCTTCTGTTGTCTCTCATTTCCAGTGCTAGACGATCTTCTACGGCCAGCCATGGTAACAACTGTACCTACAATGCAAGTGGAAACAAAAATCAATGAACAATAACAATATCAAAAAATTTAAAATTCAATATAAAAAACAAAACCTAATCCTAAAATAAAACAGAAATCAGAAACCCTAACCCTAACCCTAAAACAGAAACATAAACCCTAACCCTAACCCTAAAACAGAACACAAAACCCCATTCCTTGCCCTAACACTACAACCCAAACAAAACAGCAACATAAACCCTAACCCTAACCCTAACCCTAACCCTAACATAACCCTAACCCTAAGCCTAAGGCACCACATCAACCCTAACCCTCACCCTCACAACAAACTTAGCACCCTACCCCTAACCTAAATCCACAAAACCGCAAACAGAAATCAAATGCATGGAGAAAAAAAAAAAAAAAACTAAACTTAAAACCAAATGCAAGTCAGAATACGTTACCTAAATGTCGGTTTCGCAAGTGTGAACCAAGGAAGCTTCAATCGCACCTTCAAGGGTTGAGATTCGGACTTGGTTGGAGAGAGGGGACGGAATGAAGCGATTTAGTCGATTAGGGTTTGAAAATAACCCCCTTTGCGAAATGGGGGGGGGGGGGTTTAAAAAACCTGATCTGCGACATTTAGTCGACTAAATAATGTTCTTAGTCGACTAAAAGTGCAAACAATTTAGTCGATTAAGGTGAGTTTTTAGTCGACTAAAATTCGCGTTTCATAATTTCTGAGTTTAGCCCATTTAGTCGATTAAAAGTGCAACTTAATCGACTAAATGGGGGCAGGATGGTGGATAGTTCTGGGGGAGGGGCAAATTGGTTATTAATTATTTAATTAGGAGCAAAAGGGTCAAAAAGCCATTTTGGCCTCTCATATATTATGTTTGAAGAGAGAAACAAATGTTTAAATTTTAGCCCCCACAAAAAAAAATTTCTGGGTCCGCCACTGTCTACGGCACAATAAAATTGAAATCCTTTTTTAATTGGCTTTTGTGTTTCTTTCTTCTTTTTTCCTGACGTGTTTGTTGGCTTTTAGTTAGTTCATCGAAGAAAGTGCGCATTGCCTAAGGGGCTGTTTGGTTCTAGGACTCTTAACAGAATCATAGATAAATGAGGAGTGGGAAAGTAAGAAAGCTTCGTTTGGTGTGTTGGGTTTGCTGAGTTATGTAGCTAATTGTGATATCTATGATTCTCATTTATCTATGATTCTATGCTGAACTTGCCGGCCAAAGTTGCCGTTTTGAGGGGTGGTATTGTGGAACCCCTCCACATTTGCTCACTTACTGTACTAAGATAAAGACCAGCGTACCCCTCAGTGCAGCAACTTCTTCTACTCCTTCTGCTTCGCCATTACTTGCAGCCAGAACCTGTAAAATTGGGGTTTAAAAAAAGGCCAAACCATTTAGTCATTTACAAAGTTTAAGCTTTGAACTAGTACACTATATCTTGAAGATGGAGTTAATATACCATGTTGTATCTTTGGTTGGAAAGTGATACGACTTGCATTAATGAAGAAGCGGAAACACACATTGCATTAATGAAGAACACAGCTCTGAAATGGTCGTTGCCAATACAAACTTCCTTTTGTACAAAAGTGATATGGACGTTACGAGTAAAGACCAGCGTCTTCCCTGTTACTTCAAAAATTTATAAAGTGAGGGTTAATTTTGTAATACCCATGCATTTTCCCATCTATATGTTACTTACAGCCAAACATAGACTTTACAAAAGTTATTTAATTTTTCCTGTAAATTTTTTTCCAATCAAACTACTTTTTTTTTACATTTTCTTACCAATCTCATTTCCCACCCATTTCCCTATACATAACATTTTCCTGTCATTCATAATATTTTTCCTCAATCAAACGCCCCCTATCAGATTCGTTGCTATTTTCGGCTTTGCCAGCGTTATATTGGTTACTCGTTTGGTCTACGCATGTCGATGTCCGTTTTGTCTATTATGGTTCATTTTTTTTTAAATAAAATAATATAAAATTTAAAAAATCAAAATAATACAGTAAAATGTATGTGTGAAAGATGCGCGCCTAGCCAGTGTTATTTTATTACGATTTAACTGGGGTTATGGCTAATATTCATTCAAGAAGCAGATAATTTGCTACGTTGACCAATTTTGTATGAGAGGATGTGACTGCTTTAGCCGTAATAAAATAACCGTGGCAATGTTATTTGACAAAAACTGATTCAATCAATGTGTGAATGTACATCAATCTCATACGCAACTTAAACTTAAATGCGTACTTTCCCGATATCAGTTTTACTGCGTTATTTTAGTAATTCTTTTAAATTTTAAATTATTTTGATTTTTTTTTTTAAAATGGCATTCTAATGATTAAAAAGCCATGTCCATGAGTTTGTTAATTACATACTGAATTAATCGAGTATTTCATGGCACCCTTTAGTTTCTTAGCTCTTTTATTAGAGACTATCATCCATGAATTAGTCTTTCTTTTATCTAAGCATTTCACAGTACTCCTTAGCCACTTAGCTCTTTCATTGGAGACGAAAAAAATAAAAAAATATAAAATTTGCTCCGTATGCTCGTTCAAATCACTTCTAAAAGCCTGGAAGACCCCACTCTCTTCTAAGTTCTGTTTGATTGCGTAAAAGTATGAAAAAGTAATAATCATTATTTTTAACAAATAAAAAATAAAGTATTGTATTTACTATTTTCTCATTTTTATTACATTAACCACTAACCAACCATCTCATTTGTTATTTTTCAATTACTTCAAGTCATATGTTGCCTATTTGCGGTTTGTATCCGGGAAATGTTCGTGTCACGCCACATCGGTCAAATACGACTAATTGTTAATCATTAATCGCACACAATAATCAGGATCTACAAGCCATATCTAAATTCAATTGCATATTGAGAATTTAAGTGTGAATGGTAAAGTTGTGTGAATGGTAAAGTTCTGAATTCAAAAGGAATGAACTAAGTAAGAAATATACAATTGTGAGGACCCATAAATCTAATAGCTAATGCTTTAAGATTTCGCATTGAGATATAATATTAAATTTACTTATAGTTGCCGCTTAACCCATTTATTCATAAATGATAATTTCTCTATTTTCCACGTCAAGAAAGAATTGATATGCAACAAACACCAAAAGCGTTGACGAACACGTTTAACTATTTATGTGGCTAATAACCCTTGTTATCCAAGGATAACGACACAATTATTTGGGGCGAGCTCTATCATTTAACTAATAGCTCGTTGTGTGGGTCTCTTACTAGGACATGCTATGCCAAAGGTGAAAGAAACTTCATCCCTTTCTTTTCTTTTTTTTTCTCCCATGTGGTCATGTGGGGGCAAACAAATGAGCTCCTATCAACCTGTTCCTACCTAAGATATAAGCTTAGTGTTACTTCATCATCGAGAAACAAAAGAAGGCTTTCATCTCCAAATTTTACACAAACATAACTCACTTCTTTTTGGATGTGAAGCAATGTCAAACCAATTACCTAACAAGTATGAGCTCATGGAAAAGATTCCGCTAGAGTGAAAATTATGATTCCATAATCATTTACGAGCGTGTGAGCCCCACTAAGGTGTGAGGTTACATGACTCTTCATGTGTAAAGGTCATGTATATGTGAGAGTGAAGAATAATCAGATGTGGGAAGGACCATTTGTCCTTAGGTGAGTGAGTGACCCAACCTTGCCGAATGGTCAAAGTAAATGCTCGAACAAGATCATTCAACTGGTCCAAAATTGTCAATTATTTTAATATTTAAATGACAAAAGTTATTAAATAAAAATTTTAAATATATATTTTGTCGATAGAAACTTTATTAATTAATAGACAAATTTGATCGAACAAAATAAATAACTTACGTGATCATTTATATTTTTTCAAAGATGATATAACCAACACTATATCTAAGATTTGGAACTAATTTAATTTTTCATATCACTTGAAAGTCACTTGCCACCCCAGTTTTAGCAGGATGCCTTATTCACAGACACATCTATTTGAAATTTAGAATTCATAGTCAAATATTCAGCATTACATGAAGCGTGTGTGGAAAAAGAAACACAACATAAATGATAACCATAGATAACAATCAACACAGGCACTTATTGTGCATCCAGAAATGACAAAAGACAAAAAAAAGGAAAAACACAATCACTTATTTGAGATTAAAGTGGAGACTGAGTGTAACATAGCTAGCTTAATTACCAGTACACGTGCAGCTCGATGAATTGAGCCTGAAAGAAAGGCGTAGCCTTCCCTTTGCCTTTATGACTTGCCTTTTCCTGCATCTCTCTTCAAATCAGGGGAAGAAGAGAAGAGTAGCATAGTTTGCCAAAACTGGACTTAGTTATATCATCATCTTCATTTTCTTCTTTCTCCATATCAAAGGTTTGTTACTTGACTTAAGCTTATAGATTACACTCCGGTGGAAGTGAAATGGGTGGGTTAACTACTATGATTCAAGCATATAAATCCTCTCCAAAGTAAAAGATTCTTGCAGGGAACACCTTCGATTATGGGGGGACAGATCAGCAAAGATAAGAAAAATTCACATTTCAATTTTCAAATGGTCCCCTCCCCACAAATTGTAATTTATTATGGACATATGCTTATCCCGATCAGCAGTAAGAATATTATTATTCTTCTGCTTTAGATAAATTAGTAATGAACAATATTCTAAAGGAGAGAGCGCCTCGACCCTCCATGTGGAAAAGAGCAACGTGAAACGGATAAAGGAATAAGGGTGAGAAAGAAATGTGGGGGTCTTGATTAAAGAAGTCAATAAATGATATAATAATGAAAAGGTAGTCTTATAGCAACAAAGAACGACAGCTGTAAAGATTAAACTAGGAGGTAGTGAAGCACTTGCATTAATATTTTTTTTTAAGAAAATTAAATTTAAAAATATTTATTCTAAAAGATTTCCCTATACACTTACCCCAATTCTCCTCCGACTAGGATTAGAGGTAGCAAAATATATCGACGAATCGAATTCGTGTCTTGTCAAAGTTTGACCTACAGGTCAAATTATTCATCCCAATCATTAAAAAACAAAAATATAAACAAGAAAAGAATATAACTAAACTTCTCTGATTGACAAGCTTTGAATTTAAGTCAGCTCCAAATATTGCTAATTATTTCTGAATTATATGAACTTAGTTCATAAAATTATAACTGCAAATGGGCAGATGTGTTATTAATTGTAAGTGTGCTGATTGTTATTTTTTTTGGGCCAATGACTACTAAACCGTGTAGTTTTGTTTAGTGAGAATGCTGATGCTTGAAAACCATTTAGCTCATGACACCTCATACTAGAGCTGCTGGTACTGCACCCCCAAACCAAACACTGAGCTTACATTTCACTTAGACAAGATATAATATTGCACTCTTTCTCACTCTTTCTCTTTTTTCTTGTTCATTTCTTTTCAAATTTTAAATCTTTAAGCTGTTCTCTTATTTGGGATTTTTGCTAAATATTTTTTCTTTGTATCTGTGAATGCCATGGACAAATCTATGCAGTTTTTTCATCTGGATCTTTTTAAAAGAGGTTTTTTTTTTTTTTGAATGTTTGAAGTTTTAATTTTTGTTAGACACAATCTCCATAGAGGAACCAAAGAAGGGGTTATCTACTTGTGGGACTTCAGAGTCCACACCATTGTAACCCATGTACATGAGAAGTTGACAATTTTTTTATGTCCGAACTTGCGGTCATAGGCGCCTAAGTAGGTCCGCCGTTGTCGGGACATGACTTGCCGCAGGTCGTTGGTTATTCGAGTAGACATACAAAAATTGAAAACTTAATTTTTTCTATAAAAATTAAAAATAAAAAGAAAAACTGACCCATGACCCACAACGAGTTATTTCAAAATCACCAAAATTTCAAAAAAAATTTAACTTAATAAAAAATTTTGTCAGTTGACACATGGGTCAACTTGTGACATCACACGACACTAATTCGTGTTATTTATCTAAATCCATACACGAGCCATTTAATTTGTAAAGATGAGGTTAATTTTTTCTTTTATTACTTTGTGTGCTCTCTTGTTATTTTGTGGTTCGGTTGTGAAATATGATCAATTCCCTTTTCATGCATGGTTATGAATGCTATGGAAGGGCCTACTCCAATTTCTGCCCTTATACACGCCTCTACTATGATCGCAGAAGGAATTTTTCTTGTAGCACAACTTCTTCCTCTCTTTATAGGTATCCCATTTGTAATGAAGATAATATATTTCATCGGTATAATAATGCTAGTCTTAGGAGATACTTTAGCTCTTGCTCAAAAGGATATTAAATTTGGATTATTCTACAATATATATCTCAATTGGGTTGTATGATGTTGGCTCTAGGTATGGGTTGTTATCGAGTCGCTTTATTTCATTTGATTATATATGCTTATTCAAAAGCATTGTTATTTTTATAATTTGGATTCATTATTCATTAAATGAAAGCTATTATTGGATATTCTCCGGATAAAAGTCAAAATATGATTTTTATGAGCGATTTAACAAAGCATACACCAATTACAAAAAGTGCTTTTTTCAATTGGTACACTTTCTTTTTGTGGTATTCCACCTTTCGTGATAATAGCTTGTTCTACAGTAGGATTAGCCACA